GATATAAAAACCGCTTTTGTTGTGCTCTATTTGTGCTCGCGGATAAAAATAATCCACCGGGGGTGCGGATTTCCCCCCCCCCCCCCCCCCCGATGTTTTTCAAATCAACAACAATATCAAGATGATGGCAAATACAACTGTAACCATCAACGAAACTCTTGTCCAGTGGCCTTATGGCCCTACCTTAACCACCACCTCCCGCCCAACCCAAATATATAGTCCGTCTTCTCTGAGTTACGAACTTCATAATCAAATAATGGCGTCTTCGGCGCAGAAAGAGCCTTTGGTCGAGGGAGATCACATACAATCCCAGGAAAGCTGCCTTCGAAATTCACATCATCAACATTGCCTTGTATTTACAAGAATACAATCGTCCTCGCCGCTACCCACCCATCCATGGGCAGCGTAAACCCATGCAAAGACGGGTGTTTTATCTCCGATTTCTATGCATTCAACCGTCTTCTGAAAGGCCACGGCTAGGGACAGACGTGGCTCACAGCAGCCGTCCCAGAGAAGCCGGTGCAGAAATACGCTCCCTACCTACATAGCAACCTGTACAAGGTGCGCAAAATCTGCCTTGATCGTGAGATGCTATACCAGAATCACTTGACCGATATAATTGTCGTTCGTTCAAGTGATATGATCGAGCGATTCCTTTACGAGGCGAAGCGTCACTCCTGCTTCTGATCTTCTGCCACGGATTCCCAAACTACCACCTTCTCCTAGATAGTAGTAAACGGTCGAGGGGTCTGAGTATTATTACTCTGAAAGGTATCCTTGAGCCAGGTGCCCCTTTCACCCTGGTTACTACTGCTTGCTACTCTAGAAGATGGGTCATTACTCCTGAGCTGAACAGTAATGCCGTTACGGCTGCTGGTACCGAAGAAGAATTTAAATCAAGGTACTTCTAATGCCTGGGGTATATCACAGAGTACCGGCTGGATGTGGCTTGGTATTCGCAAGCACAATATTCCAAGTTCTATCTAGCGCTATAAGTCCATCGCTAGACTCTCTTCAGTCTAGCCAATCGAGCACTTCACCTTTAGTGCTCAGAATAATGAATGGGAGTACTCGTGGACTGGAAGGACTGGAATACTACTCGCTCACTTTGAAGACCGGTGAAACGCATTGAAAGCCCATCCTTACACAGGACCAGAGAGTCAGCGTGCACTTCGAAACATCTGAACCAGGGAGAATATGTGTTTTTTTTTTCTGATCAAATTGGATATTTATTCACTATGTAAGCCAGAAGAAGGCAGAAATCATGGCAAAGTCCATGGTCACACCCAATCTGGAAGGCGGTACCAAAATTTCAGATTAGTGGGTCTAGATGCGCATTCTCTTTCCCGTCGGCCCGGGCCGAACCTACTATGTCGTGCCACCCCTTTGGCCTGAGGTGTAAGCTACACCTTGCGAATGGTCCGCCATCCCATCATATAGAAGAATCTGAAAAACAAGTGACTCGAGAGGAATCCCTTCGCCGTGAAGATAATTTGGAACGTTTTGGGATAGATCATCCCGAACCGACTTCCGAGATCCAGAAGACACAAGAGACGGACCAATTAATCGCGCAGATGACTACTCGATGGCCTCAAATTCATCAAGAACATATAACCGAGGGCTCAGGAGCTTACAGTCCATACCAGGAGGAGGCCTTTCCACGGTCTCCTTGCCGACCCACTCCATTCAAATTTATTGTGACAGTAGCCATAATCTTCCTGGTCTGGCCGTCTAAAGCAGGGTCGAAGTGCGCTCGAGTCAAGATAGCGAAGTCTGCACGGCTAGAGCGTATGCAAAGTCCGTCGCCAGTGACCAGCTTTTGGTTTTTCCAATGAATCGGACTTGAGATGTCGACCTTATACTCCACTCGGGTGGCTTCAGGTGGGGCTGGCTTTTTGATCGGTATACATCCAGACATGGAGTTTCCAGTGAATCTCCCTTGGCCCAACACCCTCGAATATGACATCGTGAGTCTTGCCCTTACAGAAAACATCATTGTAGATAGATCACTCAATATGTTGTTCTACGATTGCGGCTTCCACTAGTCGCGAACGGCGGTCCTCATCATCCAGGTAGAAGTCGACAGAGGTGTCCCACGCATGGTATTGGCTATCATTATCGAAGAGCTAGGGCATCTTGGGCCTGCGTGGTGCTTTTCCCCCTTCTGGAAGGGGGTTCTGTTCAGCGTACCAAAACGAACGTAGTTTGCCGTCTGTGTGAAGATTTCTGCGCACAAGCTCTACCAGCTTGGCCATGTAGGCCTGTATATTCTAGAATTCATTGAAGCAGTTGTTTGGAAATGCAATCGAGATATAAACTTTCTTTTTGGGCCACTCAATGTCCTGGAGTTTGCTCTATCGCACTGATTGGTCGTGGTTTAACTCCCAGAAAGGACCAGCGAATACAGGACTAGCAGACGGGCTTAACTCAAAAAAGCACGCTTGATAATCTTTCTTCCCTTCTATTGCAGACTGCTGGCGTGTATGAATGAAGGTATCGTACTGAATGGAGGTACCCTTGAGGACCAACTTCATGTCTGTCCATGTGGCGGGGAAAACGACGTGCGCCTTGTCAATTTGAAAATCTAGCCATGGTTGCTGGGAGTTAAAGCGAATTCTCAATGCGGCAGGGATGTATTCGTTGTTTTCTCCAATGCTAATCATGCAATGGCGGGTTTTTTTGAGTTGTTTATGCAACTCCTTGGGGTAATCAGCTCCAAGAGGACGGCGGAAGAAATCCGGGACGTTGGGAGCGGATGTCATTTCTATTTCAATATTCAGTAAACCAAACAGTGAGGATAAACGTGCCAAGAGACCTTACTGTTATCAACCGAAAATGAGATAACGATCCTCACTGAGGCCGTAAAAGGCGACGTAAGTCGGGATGGTGATGCTTGGGAAACAGGAGGGAAACAGCCGAGATAAAATCCGAACCTCAATGAGGACGGAAAATGTACAGGGCACAGGAGAGTTATTTTGCAACGAGAGGGCAGATCTGATGTCTCGTTGATTTGAAGCTGGTGACAAAAGACAAAGATGATCAGGGAGAGAGGAAGAGGAAGAGGAAAGAGAGAGCACAATTCACGTGGGCCAGGTGCTCTCTACAGCGTTCCTTCCCAAATCGGTCTGCCTTGGGTATGTATACTCATTTCAACAATACAATAAATACACAGTCAACAAAGGAAATGTTGGTTATCCAGAGCAAATCAAGGTGAATATTTTCTATTAAGCTGGCTTTTAACTGGTAATTTTTTTAGAACAGGTATTTCGGACAAGGAAGTAAGTACATTTTGTATG